TACACTCAGCATCCCACGCTTCAAAATGGCAGCAGGGGCACGTTAGTTGAGCTCATTCAACAAGCATTATAAAGCGTCCCTGCTGCCACGTGGAAGTGCTAGGATGCTGAATGCATGTGAAACGTGATGCGTCGGAGTCTACGTCGGGTACACGTATAGATGGCCCTAGAGTGCATCCTTCAGTACCCTAGACTGCGGTGCACTCTGGGGTACTGAAGGGACTGGCAGAGGTCTTTCAGAGACATTGGCTATCCATTTTGAGAACTGCTGACTTGAATGTGTTTCTTTTCTCTAAGTAATCCCTAACCTGTTCTTCCACTGCTTTAGGCTGTTTGTTTCCTTCCCTGTCTTTGTTGCCAAATGTGCCCATCATCTGGTAGCTGACCCTGTTTGTGAAGACTGAGGTAAAAAAGGCATTCAATACTTTGGCATTATCCGTAGCTAGATTGCCTTCTGCAGTCCACGGGGGCTCAGGTTTCTGTTGTCTTCCTCTTACTTTTTACATCCATGTAGAATCCCTTCCTATTGCCTTATGGCCCATGCCAGCTGCCTCTCACTTCATTCCTTGGCCTTCCTAAATTTCTCTCTGCAGCCGGTATGATACTCTTACACGCTCTCCTAGTGCTGTGACCAAGTTTTCACTTTCTGTACGATTCCTTTTTGGGTTTCAGCTCATTGAAGAGATTGCTGGTGAGCCAGCCTGGTGTCCTGGGCACCTCCCACTCTTCTGTCACACCAGGATAGCTTGCTCCTGCACCCTTAAAAGGGCCTCCTTAAAACACAGCAAGATCCTGGGCTCCTTCTCCCCTCAGACTGGCCTCCTAGGGGATCCTGCCTACCAGGTCCTGGATCCGTTCCTGCGGCAGATGCAGAAACCAAAGCTGCGTCTGCAGGCTAGGCAGTGATGCTGTGCCGTCCCCTTTGGATAAATCGGTCACCCCTGTGCCAACCAGTACTTCTCCCTGCAAATGGGCCGAGAGGAATCAACGTGCTACTTTGTGTGATTGAGGGTGACAAGCTCACCAAACTTGTCATTCATCTCACAAAGCAAGAGATGTGCAGAACTGCAATGCTCTAGGAAGAAGCAGCTGACTTTCTGCACTGACTGAACAGCAGCCAGCACTTCTTGGGACGGGTTTGGTGGGACAGCTCTCTCTGTGCTAACAAAGCAAGGTGTGACTGTTGCCCTGCCAGACTACTGGGAAAGGGGGTGACTTGCTTGCTTTTTATCATGCACCTTTGATAAAAGAAGAAGGACAAACAGCAGATGGGAACTCCTGCAAGGTGGTGGGAGAGCCCTTCCTGGGCCTGTGGGAAGTGCTCTGAGCTAAGACACTGTCTCCACATGCGCCTGTGCCTGGCTGGCCTCTGGGGCCAAGCTGTACAGGGTGGGTGCGTGGCACCCTTGAAATAGAGGGCCATTTTCACTGTTTTCTGAAGTCCTATTACCGACTGAGTGAGTGATTGATTGATTGATATACTGATTTTCTTATGTTGGCAAAATCTAGAGGTCCTTGTGAGGGTATTGTGTCTTGTGAGGCAACACAGGCTTAAGCTGTTTTTCTACTATAAGGGAAAAATTAATATCAAGAGATTTTAAGTCATTGCTGCTCCATTTTATTGGTGAGGATAAAAAATGCACAAAGGACATGAAAACAATGAAGGTACGCACCATGACTCTGTAGAATAGGGCCCAAAGACCAGGCCTTGCAGGGCTTCTCAGGTGGATTGTCACTTTTCCATTATCCTGCTATTGCCATTTACCAAGGACAATAGTGCTAGACAGGATGACTTCATGAGGTCCCTTCCAGCCCTACAATCCTGTTTGCTCTAAGATGACAGTTTTCGCAACCTCACTGATGCCTTGTATTACAAGATAGGATAACAGTTAGGAGGAAGAAAGTGTGATGGCCCTGCAACGGACTGTTTTTTTGCTTAAAGTTTTACCAGGCATATCTTTACTGAAGTAAATAGTAACACTGGAGATCAACTTTAGAAATGAACAAAAAAATGTTATGGAAGGATTGGTGGTATAATGCTGAAAAGGTACCGCCACTGCTGCTTTGATTGAGAATTTACTCTGTTACATGAGATGAAAGTAAAACCCGAACAATCTGTGTTGCATAAGCTCCTTGATTCCTGGTATGTACATTGATGAGCATGATATTAAAATCTTAAAACCCCAGCAAGTAGCATAGTTCCAACAGGAAACAAAAAATAAACTGTGCAGCATCTAAGAACTGAGCATTCTGCGATAACACGAAACCTCAGAAGTAGAACAGAGAAGATCAGACTAAAAAATGAATGGAGTGGGGTGAGAAAAAGTAACATATAGAGAACTGTAAAGCAAAGAATTACGTGCTGGAGTGTTTCCACAATTATGGAGGCACAGGCACAGATGATCCAGGACCAAGATTGCAGGAACAACATCTGGTTATTTCTCCACATCCCAGGGAATTCCCAGATGATAGGCATTTGTTACAGCACGATCAAAAGAATTCATTGGGAAAGCTTATCAGTTGTACCACCACATCTCCAAGCTGCTTTCAGCCACACCAGAAATTTGTTGTAGGTTATATTATATGAATTTCCTCTTCATTGGCTTTGAAAAGAAGCATCTTGTCATTTTTTGAAGATTCACAAGGATAACAAAAGGACATACAATCCTTCGTAAATTTTCAGATGTTTGTTGTGTAATATCAAAGTCTTTAAATGTTTAATTTACCACCTCAGTTTCTTAAACCACTGAGATTTGGATGTTTGCGCTGTGTTCTCTTTATCGCTGACCTCTCGATTTGAGAGAAGCGGTGGTTTAACTCTACAGACCAGTGACACCTGTAAAGGAACCTGTTGCCAGTACCAGTTGCTGTGTGGTGGGGTCAGTGCAGCTGTTGCTCGTGTTTTGAAGTTCATTAGCATGTTTGCTACCTAGACTGAGAGGTGGCAAAACTGCTACTTTGCTTTGGTCTAATCAGGATTTGATACGACACCACTTCAGTCTGGAGGAGCTGGTGTGGCAGCCCTTCCTCCTGTACCTCACTGATTTCACAGACAGTGACGAATTAAGGAAAGTGCTGCTGTTTGTGAGGACTGAAATACCTCTCTGGAAAAAACAGTGCATAAATTTAAATCTTTTGCAGTCACAAGACTGAAGAAGCATGAAATCTTTCCATCTGTGGTGGTCTTGCTTCTCAGTGCTGCTGTTTCAGTATTTTGAGTTGCACATCAGGCATACGGCAAATGAGAAGGGGCACAAGAGGCTGCCAGCTCTACGAAGAGGGCGCTGTGGCGGGGGCAGCTATTGAGGGTACTGAGGGCCTGCCGTGGAGCCTTCAGCCCTACAGAGGTCCATGCCAGCCATGTCTGTCATGGGAGCAGGGAGGTTAAATGGCAGGGATTGCACTCTTCTCCACACAAGGCCTCTGAATCCTCACTCTTTATGACAATGCACCCCATAAATTTCCCTCCTTGCTTTCCCTGGTACGTGCAGCACCCCATTTCTTTCTTTACTGTGGTTCAAATAACTCCCATTACTTTTGCAGGAGAACACAGAGTTACTCCTCACTTTTGCAAAACCAGACGTCAGGCAGGTTAATCCAAGGGAGCAGGAATGCACAGACCAGAGAAGTGATGAATACATGTTTTTGGATTAAATATGAGGATTCTGGGAAATGGACCAGACTACAGCACATTTTCATTATATTAAGGATATGCTGCTGAGCATTTCAACGGAACAAAGATTTGTGTTTGCTTAAGAATAAAGATATTGTGGGCCTGGAGGAATCAGGCCAATATTTTTCCATTTTATAATTGGTCAATGTACGTATCTAAATAAATTAGTATAAAGCTCAGTATCTCATAGAAAGAATCAGTGCAACAAAGGCAGCAGCATTTCTTCCTGGCTAAGTGAAGAATGGGAAGGTGAACATACTCTGTTTTTCCATGAGAGGAGAGCTATGCAATACATATGCCCCTTGCCAGGTGCCAAGAGGAGAACAAAGTCAAGGGCTTGAGTTTTATAAGGCCACTAAAACTGGGTTTCTAATGTTAATCTCAAAGATTTTGAAAAACTATTAAGTATGAAATCACTAGTCCTCTTAATTACTTTATGTCTAGCAGTTCTGTGCCCTCCACGCTTTTCAAAACAAGATGCTCTAAATTAGTCTGGTATGAATTTTCTTCTAAAAAATACTCGTTCAAAGCAGAGGATGCCAAGTTAAGAATGTGCGGGAGAACAGTGGGCGGCAGGAGGGAGATGCAGCAAATGACAGAGAGGTATGTGGGGGATGCTTGGATATATGGGAGCAGTAAGTACAATGTAAAGTCTTGACAGGCGGGGTTATGTCATTTTTTGTAAAATACATATTTCTCACTGCACATTACTACAGGATCACATAATCTCTGCTCTCACAGGGTCATTAGGATGCAGTCTACATTTCCTAACTTTCAGTTTTTTATGTTTTCTAGTGAATTTTACCTTCAATTAGGGTTTCTTGGAGGGGCAGCGAGGGGTTGTTTTGGGTGTTTCTCTCTCTCTTTCTTATAAACATTGCTATTAGTTTCTGTCTTGGATTTAAAGATCAGTGATTTTGCTTTAGGAGCCTGGCAATTGTTCTGTCATGCATCTAAATAAATAACTATTCAGACCAGATTAGAATTTCTGCTTTTCAGTGACAACTAATTTCTGTTGGCCTGTTATGTTTCATACCATTATCGCCTAGTTTTCAGAAAGTAACACACAGTCTGGAAGCCTGGCAAGGATGGTCTCCATTTGTATTTAGATATGTAGAAGACAAGATTGCTTATTGCATTCACTTTGTACTCATTGCTAGCATTTATTTGTTCAAGCATGTAATCTGGGTAGTCATAGTCTTTGTAAGGCTATAAAATTGAGTCTAACATTGAAAAATAAATTTTTAAACAAACAGAAGAAACGTCTGTTTGCCCCTCTGCCTTCAGTGAGCCCCTTCACTACTGATGTGTCTAAAACTCTTTTCCAGATTATCCTTAAGAATTGAGCCAGGAAACAGTTCTCCTCGTCTGGTCTCCTCCAAGGAAGATCTTGCAGGTACAAAAAGCGATTGTGAATGTTTGCTTGTGAGCATTATATCTGCCGTTACACAAATCTTTTCCTGTAGTTTGTGAAATTGGAGTTTCTGGGTTTTCAGGGGCGGGGGGAGAATGTCATTCCAATGGGAAATATTCTTTTTATTGTCATTAGAGAAGTATGCTAAAAAGATCTGTTAGAAAATCGGTGCCTCACTCTGAAGTCTCTCAACTTTGAGCTTCCCCTGGTATCGGTGATACAGAAAATATAACAGGAAGACACGTATTGGAAGGGGCTGTGCCAGTCATCAAGTCCAGTCTCCATTGTTTTGGGGAACCATGTCACATAATCCCATTCGTACATAGATACATCAAACTCCATCCTTAAACCAGTTGAGTTTTGCTCTGTCTGCTGCATTTGGGAGGTTGTTCCACAACCTCACTGCTCTGACCATTAGGAACCTTGTTTTGATTTCCAGCCCAAATTTACCCATGGCTATTTAAACCTTTTTTGAGCCAGCATTTTCCTTTCACTTAAATAGCTCTTCTCTCTCACTGGTGCTTACCCCCTAGTATACTAAATACAAACCCTTCTGTCCTGTCAGCCTTCATTTGACTAGGTTAACTGCCAGAAATTTCCAGTCTTGTTTCCTAAGACAGAGGTAGAATTATCACTGATGTCATTTTCTAAAATGAGCACCTGATCTCTCAGTATGCTTCCAATATTATGTAGAAGTGATCACGGGGTAAAATAGGCAATCAGTGGACAGTAAGTTGCTCATCATGTAGACAGCTGGGGAATTCACTTTCCTAGTTGGACAGAGTCAAGTATTTTAGCAATGTTATAGAAACAGCTGGATAACTGTATATAACTCCTTTTGTAAGTGGCAAATTAAGATCTGGGGATTCAGATATCATGTTTGCAAACTGATTCCCTGCAGGGGCAAGAAGGGAATTTTCCTTTCTGATTTGCAGTAGAATGGCAAATGCTCTTAACTTTATAAAAGTAAGTGAAAGTAGCTTGATTTCAGAAGTAACTCTTCACTTGCAGAGACTGTAGGTGAACCTTGTATTCAGTGTTAGAAAAGATGAGTTTATCTATCTGTAATTTCTCTGAATTTGGAAAAGGAGCATTTTTTAGGTCAGTAGTTGGCAAAATCCACATTTTTAATAGCCACTGTGCAAGCCAGCGGGGTATTTTTCTCTGTCCTTACTTATGAGTGAAAGTATAGAGAAATTCCACCACAATGTGTCTCTAGAGCTAATCCCAAGCTGGCCAGGGTGCCAGCACTGCCAGCCAAGTCTGTCTCCCCACTGGCCTTGTTACCGCATTAGAACCTGCCAGGAACCATCATCCCTGGTGGCATTGCTCAGTGCTTCTTTGTCGGACCTGTTTCCGTCAGGTGGCCACTAATGAAAAGGCATTCTCTGGCAGAGGAGTCATTGAGCAAGATTGCTAAGTTGCAAGCAGACAACTGGTTCCTGAGGAATAGCTAGTGGATGGAGAAAGTGAATGGAGTTGCTGCTTTTTTACAAAGTTGTGCTTTTTCGTTAGTGCCTATCAAATAAATAGAAAGCAGAACTGTATCACTTCTAATGGGTCTGATTAAGTGCAGTAAGTTAGTAATAGGTAAGTTCTTCCTGCACAGTTCTGTGTAAAGGGACAAATGCAGCTGAAGTGAGGAAATCCAATCATGCCTGGGTGGGACAGGATTGCGTAGTGACTTCCTGGGATCAGTGAACATATGTAGGGGTTCATAATGTCCTTCTTAATGTCCTCCTGAATTCTTCAGCGACCATGACTGGAGCCCGTTGCCCTCATGCGTCAACAACATCTGCTAAGACTAACTACTGCAGCCTATCGCAACACAGTCGACGCCGTTCGTCCCCTCCCTCCCAGTGCATCTTGGGTAGATGGGCATTTTATGGGATCACTTTGTTGTCATGCAAATAAAGTGTCACAAGCACAATTTCATCCTTGCTGTTTGGAAGCAGACTGAAGAGGGAGACCATACCATTCATGTTGCTATGAAGGAATTTGGTTTCAGTGACTTGGGACAGCACAGATCTTTCATTGCAGATGTACTTAGTGCCTTTTTACCAGGTTTAAGGTTAAATAACAACCTTCATTAAGCCACCGTATTTCAGTTGGATCTGTGCACCATACAGTCTTTATAAGTGTTTTGTGGGAACCTGGGTACAAGACACTGCTTTCCTTGACTTAACTGAGCAAACACTACAGATATTATGCAGTATGAATTAAAGTAATAGAAATGGAGCCTTGTTTTACCAAAACTAGGAAACATGTTTGATTAAAGAAACACTGTTGAGGTTGGTTGGCGCAAAATGTGACCTACCTTTTTATAGGGTATATGTTTCCAGAAACCATGTCATTCTGCCTGTGATGGGGGTTTGGGAGTTGGGAATGGTGGTTTGGAAAACAAGTTCTTCAAAACATGCCTGCCTGCATTTAAGATTTAGCCATCCAATAACCAGGCACTGTTTGCAGCTCAAGCCTTGTGGACAATAGCAGCTAAGTGTGTAACAGTCTCCCTGAACGGTCCTACAGTCATACGCTGGTGTGTGCATGCAGTGCAAGTAGGTGAGAAGTGTCTGGACACAGGTTTCTGTTTTGAGCTTCTAAAGTTTTTTTCTAGTCAGTGAGGGCAAGTGTTTGTATAGACTGAAATTTATCTTCATAGCTTGGCTGCATCCTTTTAAATATAAGGAAAATTTTATCAGATGCAATGTTTCTCAGTGTTCCCTGGCTGCCTTCTCAATATAACGCTGGAGTTGCATGTACTCTCAAGTAAATGTTTGCCTGGTGTCTCAAAGACAGATATTATCTGGATGAACAAGCTCATTTTTACTAAGGTAGCACCATGAGGTGTATTGTGTCCCTAAAATATAAACACAAAATACATTTCCACATTTGGACCCCCAACATTAGGCTCCAACTAAGCTGAATTGTTGATTTTCAGTTGTGCTGAGCCTCCAAGGCTCCCAGCAGAAACTGTGGGTGTGGCAGTTTAAAAAATGAGGCAGACTTCTGCTTCTAGCGTACAATGCCCAAGCAAACCATTGGAAAATTCCTGCCACTTCAACAATGGTACTCTCATCTCAACCTCCATTTATGACCAATAATAAAATGGGTGTGACATTGAGCTGTTGCATGGAACCAGCAAAAGGTCAGTGCATGTTAGAACTGCGTATACAAAGATTACATATTGCAAAGATGGGAGGCCCTTCACAGAAATGGTGTCAATCTGCAGGGGATTCTTAAGCACTGCCAAAATAGTTACAGGACAGGAGGGATTTGTTTTTGTGGGAAATTTAAGGAAAGGAAGTGGGGTAGGTCCCATTATTTGGAACATTTACAGCTAAACTGGACAAAAAGCTGTGTAAACATACTATGAAAAAAACCCCTTGGTTGGCCTTTGCCCTAGATGACCTAAAAGGTGACTGTATTTTGACACTTGAGAGTGAAGCTGGAATATGCATTTTTCATTATGAACTCTAGAAGAGTTGCTTTAATAGATCTCAACTTACTGAGATGTGCAGCAAATGGGATGTCTTGTCAGAAACCTTTAGAAGAATTGAACAACTTTTGGGCAAGGGGTATCCTCTGTCATCAGTTTGAACATTTGGACCTAAGATTTGATAGATAATGAACAAGGAATAAAATTAATATTGTCTGTGTTCTGCTTCCTCCTTGATGTTTATCTATAAGCTCCCACTCCTGCTTTGTACAGCTTGAGCACACGCATCAGTGAGCAAGAGTCCTTATAATTTCCAGTTGACTTCAAGAATTTGGGTGCCTTATGTTGCTAAAAACTGTATGAGAAAAGGAATGAAGCATTTGCAACATTGTCTAATTAGGTTGCTCGCTTTGGAAAATGAAGAGAAATATAAATATTTCTCTGTAGCAGACTAAACAGATCAGAACATACAGATTATATTTACTGCTATAGGAGCTATTATTGCAAAGCCTGTTTTGTTTTAAACTGTTATCATGATTTGCCAGCTTTGTGTCTCACTGTGCTGATGCAAAGTGGGGATGGGAAGAAGCAGGGAAAAACCCAGACCCAGTCTATTAAGTCATTTTATTTTACATTCAAAATGACATTTCTTATGACCAAAAACTTGACTGCTGAGACAGAAATCAAACAGAAGAGGGGAAAAATATAGAGATGTGGTTTAGATCAAGATTAGTGTCCTTAGAGCATTGTATATCATCCCTGCTTGGAGCTCAATAAAATGCACTTCAGTATGCTGTTAATGATGTCCATGAAATGCTTTTGCTGTCATATAAAAAGCAGCAAAATAATATTTCCTGTGTAATTGTCAAGCATGTTCAGACTGAAGAGCTGGTGAACTGGTGCCCACGAGGTTTCAGTTTGCTGCCTTTATCCTGTTCAAATCTTGTGTGGGGGGCTTAGATAACTAGGAGCATTTGGTCAGGCTTTTGTGGTTTTAAGCAGTCAAAATCATTCAGTTTTCTCTAAGTTTCCGTTTCTTACATTCAGTGCTTAAAATGCAAGATGGGACTTTGGCTACAAGACAGAGCTCATTACTTGACTTGATGAAAGCTGATTTTAATTTTCCAGCAGAAGGTATTTCAGTTCAGGGACTCAGTCCTAACACTGGAGATGCTCCAGATGTGGGGAAAAGGAATAAAACCTGCACACAGGGTTTTGGAGGGAAACATTTCAGCAGGAAACCCCACAGTCCTACCACTTGTACAGTATTGTTGGATGTGATCTGAGGAAACAGTTCATTCTAAAACAATGCACCTTTTTAAAACTAGATGAAAGGGCAAAAGCAGCTGTTAAAATAATACGTCTAAGTTTTGTGTGGACATGCAAAGACTGGTTTTGTGTTTATAAAGATTTGTTTTACTTCGTTAAAATGTACAACTGAGCCCTTTTGTCCTGTGTGATTTAATTTCATACATTTAACGTGGGTGGGTGTTTTTATTGTGTTGGGGTTTTTTTCTTTCTGGCTTCTGCTTCGACATTGCTCACATCTAAAGGCCTCTGCGAGGGCTCTGGGTCAGCATGCCATTACGGTGACTTGGGAAATGCATACTCCTTTCATACTGTCATT